TATATAATAAAAGAGAAAAAGTGTTTAGATATTTTCCCATTCGGCAACAATTAGAAAATGGGAGGACTGAGGACTTAAGACGACAGATGCGCGCTTCATAATATTTATAGAATTATACAGATAAGATATATTTGTACAATTACTCACCGGCTATCGAACGAGCGATGTGACATCGCAGCAAGTAGGCGATGACGAGTAACATCCGCGGAAGTCTCATCGTTCCGAAGCTTGAGATACGGTATACCGGTCAATCAGGCCAGAACACACGTGAACGTTGCGGCGGTTTACCGCGACCACCGCGACCGTCGTGACCACCGCGAAAGGAGACTATCAGACGCGCGTTCTTCGTCTTACGCCTTTTTTACGTTGACATTCAAGTGGAAGCCTTTGAAACGTGTAACTTTTCGACGGTTTGCGAACGTCGCGCGTCGTCGCGAAAGATAGCTCACCCTGATTTTAGTGTATAGGTACGCGCGACCGCAAACGCAGCCACTGAGCAACATTCAACATCTTCACGCTGCGCACGTCAGAGTCAGAGCCCGACTGAAAGTGACCAACTGACAACTGACCAATCACCGCGGCGCGGTGTCAGATAAGCGCTTGCGCCAATTTCATGCGAGTGCGCATGACACGAAGCTATTGCCTGCATGCCTGCCTGCTGCTTGCTGCTGCTGCTGCCTGGCTGCCTGGCTGCCTGGCAGCCTGGCAGCCTGGCAGCCTGGCAGCCTGGTTGTCATTGCCGTCAAGCCATTATGCCGTCACGTTTCCATCATATCTCCGCTTTCACTAGACTGCACCTTGTTCGAAATAGCAGATTCTTAGCCCGCATAAGCATGCGTATTCGCGATAAGCTTTCGAAATTAAAAAGAAAAGAGTTAAGAGATTTAAAACAAGCCTCTAATGCTAGCGCCAGACTATAACTTGAGAAATTGGTCTCTTTCTTTCTCTCACATACAGATTAATAATTATTTCATACGTATGTAAACTTTGACGTGTTCTGGTTTTGACAAAGAAAGAAATATACATATAATGTGCAGAAAGGAAGATGTACTATTGTGTGTGTGTATAAAATAAAATTCTTAACACGATTTATATACTTATGAAAAATATATTATTGTTTTTTTACAGTCGCTTTGTATTTGCTAAAGCTAAAGTAATATATTCTTTTAATGTACAAAAAAAGGATGGGCGCTGCCGAAACCCGGGATTGAACCGGGGACATTTAGATCTTCAGTCTAACGCTCTCCCAACTGAGCTATTTCGGCTTATACTAGAGATGATCGTTAACTCTGTGAAAACGTGTTTCGTAATTATAATAATTATACATATATATGTGTGTATGTATATTATATATATACATTATATAACATATACATTATATAATTGTAAAATTATATTTAACACAATATAGAGAGAGCACACAGAAGTGATTAATTGCATAATTTTGGTAAAAAATTCAATTTTTGATTTCTTTTCCGTCTTTCAAAAAGCGCTAGCTGAAGCTAACCAATTTAGCATCGATGAGTTTCTATTATTATATTTTGATATTATTATCAATAAGATAAGAGAAATATATATTATGCATAAAAAGAAAAATTATCATATACATAAATAATGATAGCATATCTCGATGAAATAACTTTATTGATTTTCTGGGACGAATTTCTGCATTGTTACATTGCATTCGAAATTCTTTTTGTGATATTTGTTTCATACTCTTCGAACATCGATTGATTACTGATTAGTAGTGGACGCACGTTGTAAAAACGTATGTTCTATAAAATGTGCTTAAGGTTACTTACGTGGAAACGGAGGGGGAATTGTTTAATTCATGGTCACGGTCCAAGGAGAGAAATCGTTTAATATGTAAGAAATAATTTAGTAAAGCAGAGCAAAGATAAATCTTATATATCGATAATAAAAAAACATGTATAATATTAAAAATATATATGCAATAATACGGAAAAGAGAAATTAAAAGAGCAAATATAAAACAGTAGTATAACATATAGTGAAAATTAAAAAAAATTAAACAAAAAATCTCAGATCTATTCTTCTCTCTCTCTCTCTTTTAACTGACTTTACTTTTTTTCTTCTTGTTCATTTTTCAATGTTAATATTGATTGCGCAAAATGTGCAAAACACATTCAAATCTCGTATTATACAACAAAATTGTCACGTGGCGTACAACACGTTATTATACGCGTAACGCACATGTCATTTTAAGATACCCGCTCATTTGCTTCTTTGGTTATGTTGGCAATTTAAACGGCATTCAGCGTTTTTTTTTCTTTCTTTTTTTTTTTTTGCAATGTGTGCTCAACAATAACAATTCTTTAATTAAATTGCAAGAGCAATTCTTCCGTCTACAAAAAATGAGATAAATGAAAATTGTTTCTTCATTGCTTTTATCTTAATTGTTGTTACAAATATCTATACAATTGTATCGCATTCTGATTCTAATTGGTTCGCCTATAATCGCGAATAAATAAAAATGATGTCTTCGTTATATACATATATATTTAAGGAAAAAAATGGAGACAATCTCATACTACTCATCCCTTATTTCCCGAGTAAATAACGATCGCGGTGCCTTGAGGAAAAGAAAGAATAGCATTGAGACAAAGAGACAGACGCAGACAGAAGAAAAAAGAAAAGAAAGACGAGGACAGCAACAACACGAGGCCGCGGCCGCGCACGTGCGACGCTATTCCTGTCTCGAGCTCGAGGCTCGAGGCTCCTGGCTCGAGCATTCTGAACTTGATTGCCGGTACGTGGCGATCGGTACCAGTGATTCGGAATACAACCAGATACAACGCGATCCCGTATCCCGTCACCGTCAGTCGAGCTTCATACGCTTACTGCGACGGTTCACAAGCGGTAATTGAGTGTATGCGGAGAAATTAAAAGTCGGCGGCCGCTCGAGACATTTCAGCACGTATCGCCGGCGTGTCCATCCGTCCGTCCGTTCGTCCGTCCGTTCGTTCGTTCGTTCGTTCGTTCGCTTGCTCGCTCGCTCGTCGTACAAACGTCGTAAATACCGTCGTGGATGAACGCGTCGACGACGGCGAGAGAAAAGAAGAAACGATAACCAATTTATGATGGCCAGTTTACGACAAACACCGCTAACATGTAGCGGACATACGAGGCCCGTGGTTCATCTCGCCTTCTCCGATGTCACCGAGTCCGGATACTATCTCATTTCGGCGTGCAAAGGTAATATTGAATCGTCATTCGGATAAGGTCTGTCGCAGATCGTCGTGATTTTTTTATTCCTTTCATTCGTTTCGTTCTCGCATGTTCGATTCTCGATCGCCTTGGCCCAATTCTTTCTGGCCGTCCAAGGCTCCGTAACTTCGAGGTTAGATATCGCGTGCTCTTGACGTGCTCTCTTATTCCTATCTATCTATCTACCTACCTACCTCCCTCCCTACCTCCCTACCTCTTCGCGCAATATCAATTCGAAAGGAATTTGATACATATTTCAAGATCAAATAGCACGTACGAGATTATTTGCTGTGTTGTTACTGTAAACGTAATCAATCATGCCACTAGCGACGTATTCGAGGATGACTGTATACCTCGATTGAGATTGACCAAAAGGT